TCGGACCAAAAACGGTAGACAGTGGATGATCCAACGTGTAAATCAAGGTATCCGGGTTGAAAGCAGAGGTGAGTGGAATCTTCTTGTTGCCAGGGAACACGTACTGATCTTTATCGGCGGTTGAATGGGGAACTGCAACCACTATCACCCTCTTAGTCGACGAAAACGGATTCTTCTGCAGAAGACCCGGCCATGTGCAATCCTGAAAAATTGATAATTTCATCGGTCTATCATCAAGATAAAACAAGATTTTTGCTATGATACTCACGGAGGTTTCGGTAATGCCAAACATGCGGAAGAGAACAGATGAAACATCATTCTGCTTCATTGGTATGGTGGAGTCGAAAACGAAGCCTTGCGGGGCTTTAACAACCCAGACATCACCGCACATCACACATTGCACAAATATAACGCAAACGAACGCGAACACTGACAATCGAATCATTCTCAATGACAATTTTGCTTCTCTGCAACGAACAGAAGAAACTTCAGAACTCCTTCCTTTTGAGAGATAACCAAAGAACAGAGCTACTGTACTCGCAACGACCAGGCAAAAGGAGAGCAACTGAAACAAGCGAGTTGAAATGATGCAAGAGGGAAAAGATCATGTGATGTCCCAGAATGCACGTGGGGGAATCTCATGGTTTTTCCTCAGACTTGAATGTTGAACTCATTAAAAAAATCACGTGGTGGAATTCTGTTGAAACAAAGTTCTAAAAATGCATCAAAACAAGTTTTCTATATGAAAAATTCTCGGAGGTCCCCCCCCTGAAATTAAAGATTAATTTACTCAAAATCAAAAATGTCACAGGAACATTATTAAACGAACAATTTTCCAATCAGGTCATTTAAAAACATGCCTCTCCGAAAGGAAATATTTTCTGTAGTAAACATTTTCCAACAAACATTTTACTCAAAATCAAGACCAAAATTCTCAAATTTGGAGAAATCCAAAGGAAATACCGTACTTCATGCAATTCTCAAAAAATAATTTGTGTTTATCATTGAACTCTGAAAATATCTCGTAAAAATATTTTGAAAACTATATCCATGGAGATTCTTCGAGGACTTGAAACATTGATTCATGACGAAAAATCTTGAAAATAATTTCAGCTGAATTCCACCTCCTGCGAAATGCAACGTTTTCCTAAAATCAAAGAAAAATAATTTCTGAAAACTTGTTCCGGCCAAATCAGAAAATTATTGATCAAAAATGAAGCGCTACCGCAGAAAAAAAAAATTTGACAAAATGTTCTTTTAGTGGCAATTTGCGATTATCTTCTCAGAAAAATCTAGGATTTTTTCTTCCACTACTTTCCATCGAATTTCGCTATATTGAGGAATTCGTCATAATGACATTTAAAAAAATATGTATCCCGTAAAAAGCCGGGAACTCTTGGGCGAAAAGAGATATTTGCCCATCGAGTCACGAAGACGACGGAACCCGGATTTGCCCAGTTATATTGAGGAATTCGTCATAATGACATTTAAAAAAATATGTATCCCGTAAAAAGCCGGGAACTCTTGGGCGAAAAGAGATATTTGCCCATCGAGTCACGAAGACGACGGAACCCGGATTTGCCCAGCGGAAACCCAGCAGGAATTGGTGGATTTCTCCTCAGCTGTTGGGAAGATGTCGGAGGATTTCAGTCATATGAAGTATGAAATTGGCAAGGGGATGGAATCTAGACGGAAACGAGTTCGACGACAAGATCAAGTTTTCAGTGGAAAGCTGAAGTTGGATGGTAAGTTCATAATAATCCTCATTTGTACTATACATCATTCCAGGGCAAGTCTATAAATTGATTCATACATGAAATTATGATTTAAAAACCTCTTCTCTAGAGTTGTAGAAAAACTTTTGCTAATATTTCCCTCCATTTGAAGCAGAAATGGAGGAGAGTTTCTGTACTTGACAATTTTAGCAGGCAAAAAATGTGGAACTGATTCCTCATGAGAAAACATGACATGGGATTGCTTCATGGCTTTTTTTTTCTTCTGCAAAAATTGTCCTAAAGGAAATGCTAGAGTTATTCAGGAAATTTCTGCATTTCCCTAAGAATTCACTTTTGGTTAAATTGCTTCTTGATGAATAAGAAAAGTTGAATCTCATTCTGACACTTGCATGAATTGGCTCCCTGTGACTCTTCCAATTCTGGTAAGTAAGATACTGTAAATCCAATTTTAAACCTAAAAATGTTCCACATTAATTTAATTGATTTATTTTTAGGAGAATTTTCACTATTTACCTTTAAAATCTTGAGATCTATGGATCTTTATTGCAAATTTTCATTTCATTTTTCTATAACAGAAATCTGAATGCACTGCATACTGCTCACTTTGCTGCTGATCACAACAGCTTTGAAAAAGTTTACTCAAAATACAATTCAAATTACTCTAAATTCAATCAGGGAATTTAAGACACATTTATATGAAGTGGAGAGACTTCTCTATATGGCTTGAGCATGGTCTGGTATGTCAACAAATCAAGTTAGGGTTTGGAGAAATTAATTTCTCATTGAATAAAGGCATTAAAAATGTTTTATTGGATCAAACTCTCTCAACTTTACTTCAGGTTCCCCAAAGAACTTTGGTGAGGCATAATTTTTGTTATAATTAAAATTCATGCCAAAAGGTTGCATAATTTTTGACTTACTTTTATTTTTCAAGTTCCAATGAAGATTTTGCTGGATGCTTTGCGAACGCATGGCTTCCACCCAAAGACAAGGAAGCAACAAGATTACTTATTCCCAATGGAAAACAGAGATTTAAAAAGCAAGAAGCACCAACCAAAAATTTTTATACTCACTGGCTTACAGAGGAATAATCACTCCCAGGAGGAAAATGATCCCATTCAGACCCTCAGACCTTTGGCAACTGAATTCAAGATTGACACAAACAAGGAACACCAAACAAATGAGAATGAGGGGTCACACACTACAACTGCTGTACCACAGGATGCAAAAACTGAAATGCACACTGAGCCATCATTGTCAGGCATCATGCAGGCATGGTGTGAGTACAGTATATCAAAATTGTCAAGCCCTAGAGTGGAAATTTACACCATAAGGCAATGTCATTTGATTCTATATGTTAGTATTCTGAAGCCAGAGATAAAAGCTTTAGATTATAAGTTGAAAAAATATGTAGGAGAAGATCTTACTTCAATTTCAAAGAAATAATCATGACTTAGTCTTATTAGTGATCTGATAGTGAATAATGAAGAAGAGAAAAGATGAGTGCAAGATTAATCATCCACTAAAGTTTGTTGAAGCCATCAACATGCAAGCTTTGACTTCAAATTTTTGAATGGTTCAAAAAGTATTGCTGAAGATAAAGTTTAAGATAGTTTTGCCATTTCTACCTCCATCTAAACTGAAATATTTTAGAAAGTTTGAAGCTTACATCTATCAGGATTAATTCAAATTCACATTTGAATGGTTCAAAAAGTATTGCTGAAGATAAAGTTTAAGATAGTTTTGCCATTTCTACCTCCATCTAAACTGAAATATTTTAGAAAGTTTGAAGCTTACATCTATCAGGATTAATTCAAATTCACACTCAAGAGTTCCCAGTGATAAATTTTAAAATATATAGGTTTTTTCAAGGTTTGTCAAAGACTTTCTTGCTGTGTCTGGAGTGCATTAAATATTTTTTATTCTAACTTTAAAGAAAGCATGTTTTTCAAAATAAAACTGATTCTGAAACCATTCTGCTTTGTTATTCAGGCTGATACTTCATACCAAGCTTTCCCAAAGGCACTAACAAATACAAGTTTAATAACATATAGACACAATGCTATGAAATTATCAGTATAACAAGTTTTCAAGATTCATGGCAAAATATTGATAATGCTGGAGATTTTCCCCTCTGTTCATTATACACTCATTAGGAATTCTGAGTAACTTGACCAATTCTGCTTTCCATGCTCAAAATGAAAATTCCCTACGTAATACAATACTTACTAGTTTTGAACATCAAAAATGCGAAGCAAGAGAAATCACAGGTGACTACAATAATGAAAGCTAACCTCAAGTTTCTCATCAGATACAGTACAATTTTTTGCTTTTGATTTTAAATATTTTTTGAACTGTCAGATTGCTGTTTATTGTTCTGATATAGTCAAAAATCTCAGATTTGAAGAAAACATTGTCCAACTTCAAAAAGTTTCCATTTTCAAAATTGATCTTTTACACGGATAGCTGCTTCTTTCCATTGCCACTGTAAGTACAGCAATATGAAAACAGGATGTGCTGTTCAACTGAATATATTGCTTGACAGGTGATCCTCTCATTAGTTTCTGAGATTCAACAGTTTTTTGTTGTTTCTTTTTTTCAGTTGCCTGGACAACCAGGATACCAAATACAGGAAGCGCAAAACCAACACATGAGCAATTTTTCAAGCTTCTTTAGTTCATGGCATAAGATGACAAATCATCAGAAGTATATTGGTTAAGAGAAAAAAAAGTTGTTTGAATGGTTCAAAAAGTATTGCTGAAGATAAAGTTTAAGATAGTTTTGCCATTTCTACCTCCATCTAAACTGAAATATTTTAGAAAGTTTGAAGCTTACATCTATCAGGATTAATTCAAATTCACATTCAAGAGTTCCCAGTGATAAATTTTAAAATATGTAGGTTTTTTCAAGGTTTGTCAAAGACTTTCTTGCTGTGTCTGGAGTGCATTAAATATTGTTTATTCTAACTTTGAAGAAAGCATGTTTTGCAAAATAAAACTGATCCTGAAACCATTGTTTTGTTATTCAGAATGATAGTTCATACCAAGCTTTCCCAAAGGCACTAACAAATACAAGTATAAAATAAATAACATAGACACAATACAATGTAAATCTCAGTATAATCAGTTTTAAAGATTCATAGCAAGATATTCATAATGCTGGCGTTTTTTCCCTCTGTTCGTTATACACTTGTTAAAATTTCTGATTAACTTCACCAATTCTGCTTTTGATACTCAAAATGTAAATTCCCTTAGTGATACAATGCTTACTAGCTTTGAACATCAAAAATGCTAAGCAAGAGAAATCACAGGTGACTACAATAATGAAATCTAACCTTGAGTTTCTCATCAGATACAATTTTTTGCTTTTGATTTTAAATATTTTTTGAACTGTCAGATTGCTTTTTATTGTTCTGATATAATCAAAAATCTCAGATTTGAAGAAAACATTGTCCAACTTCAAAAAGTTTCCATTTTCAAAATTGATCTTTTACACAGATAGCTGCTTCTTTCCATTGCCACTGTAAGTACAGCAATATGAAAACAGGATGTGCTGTTCAACTGAATATATTGCTTGACAGGTGATCCTCTCATTAGTTTCTGAGATTTAACAGTTTTTTGTTGTTTCTTTTTTTCAGTTGCTACCTGTTGGTCCTATGGTTTATGTCCTTCGCGTTTTGGTTGTGTACTCGTTAAAAAGTTCGAAGAAATCAAGTACCGTATTCTACTGTTTAGTAGTCTTCATATAACCAA